AGAAGAAGTGCAATCAAACCCCAAAAATCCCCTGGTTGGTGGGGAAATTTAGGGATGTAAAACCCCACTTTTTAAAAGGGGGCAAGGTTGGGACAACACTGCTTTAGTGGGTTGATCTCATTTTGGAAAACGGCAAAACGAAATTCGAGGTGGGAGGGAATAAAGCCGCTGTGCTGAACTTTGAGGACATACCTTCTGGGTGTTTTTGGCAGGACCCAGTTGAAGAAAAAGCTGACTCGCCATACCTGCGCGCTCGTCGCAAGCTGGAGAACCTCCTAAACAAGAGTCTGAGGATCCGTATGACAGACGGACGGACCCTCGTGGGCTGTTTCTTGTGCACTGACCGGGACTGCAATGTCATCCTGGGTTCTGCCCAAGAATACCTGAAACCCACTGGTGAGTCCCCACCAAGCTGGTCTCTGACTTCTGTGCCCCTGTTTGTTCTTCTGAAATGCATTAGGTCTCTTCAACATTAGCTCCTGCTATGCTGTGGTGGAAATGCAGAGGATGATGTGGGGCAGTGCTTCCAACGCCGGGAAGGGGTGGGGACCGCCTTCGTTCTTCTTACTTAAAGGAAGGCCAATTCTGGTGGAATGTTTAAAAACACCCCCAAACTTCCTAATAAAAGGAAATAGGGATCCAGAGAGATAGGGGGTTCATCCTCGCCAAGGCCAGCCAGCCACCTACCTACCTGTCAAGATGCTTAAACCGGGGTTCCTGTGGGTTAGACTAGATGGCCTCAGGGAACACTTCCAATTGTGGGAGAAAGAAAACTCCCACCAGGACTCCTGGGTTTGTTGGAGGAGTGAAGCCAGGGCGGTTAGAATCAGAGCCACTGTCCTGCTTTAGGAGGGACTGACTTCTCTCTCCCCTGTGCCTGCAGACTCCTTCTCAGTGGGCGAACCCCGAGTCCTGGGCCTAGCGATGGTTCCAGGGCACCACATTATATCCATTGAAGTGGAGTTGGAGAGCCTGGCCTCCTTGCAGTACCTCTGACCACGTCCCTGGAAGGCAGCTGTGCCTCAACGTTTTAAAACACGAGACGGAGAAGACCGCCAGGAGCAGTGTAGCTAAGAGATTTCTTCCACCTGCTTGCCGTAACCCTACCTGGACAAGGCCTGGGAAGTGGAAACTGCGCTGAAAAGCTGGACCAGCTTGCTGCCCTCCATGCTGAAAAATGGGGGATTCCTACCGTTCAGGACTTGAGAAACAGTTGACCTGGAAGGATGTTTGTATTTGCTTGATATTTGTTAAATCTTGAACTCTGCCCAGTGCTGAGTGTGCGTGTGTTTGGCAGCCCTTAGGAAGCTCACCCTCTTTCTTCTGCCGTGGACCACCTATCCATGCTCCTCTTCTTCACAGAATCCAGAAAGATTTGCTGATCTTTGAGGATCAGAGGCGGGGTGGGGGTTAGCAACTTGTAGCCCCTGGCCAAAAGGCATCTCTGGGCCAAATCTTTAGAACCTGGCCTGGATTGCCAGCAAGCAGATGTACAATATGAAGGACTTTAGGGGATGCGAAGGAGGAATTTTGATGAGAAAGAGGCAGACACCTTTCCCAAGCCTTAAACTGTTTCGAGGAGTATAGTTTTATATGCAGCAAGCAGGGAAATGCTTGACTAATGGGCTTCATCCTGCTCTCAGTCATCTCTCTGCTTCTTGGCCATTTCCTGCCCAGAGATCTCCTCCAACTTCCCAGCGTTGGGCTCCAATGTTTCCTCGGCTGCCCGTTTTGTATTGAAGTTCAGTGAATGCCCCCCCCAGAATCCCAAGGCATGGATCTGCTGACGTTGCCTCCTTTCCTTTAAATCAGCAAACCGGAAAAGGTCGGTGGGCAAAGGGCCCCAGCCCGCCTGCCAGCCAAGGCCCACCTGTGGAAGGCAAAGGTAGAACTCTGCACGGTTAAACCTGTGCAGCCTCCTTCGAAGACAGTCAGAGAACAGGCTTGTTTAATGCTCTTTTAAAATGCCCTAACAACGGAAGCAGCGTTTTCTGATTACAGAAGGACTTATTTGTCCCAGAGAGAAGGAAATCATTCATCCATCTTTACCTTCTCCCAATAGCATCTGACATCTGCACATCTGAAGCAGAGCTAAAAACCTGAGCTACAGAGGCGGATGCCAGTAGGGCTGGCCGCCTCAGCCCGTTGGGTGGCCGCACACCCTTGCCGATGGGACGTTCGTTCACTGTGCTGACCGGCTTCCGAAGGGTTGCATGTCTCTGGAAGGCCCCCTTGCCCTTCTCACCCCAGCAGCCTTGCCAGAAGTGCCCTGGGAAGAGGCGATGGGCCGTCTTCCCAAATCCTGGCTGCAAATCAGCAGGAAGCCACGTCTATAGATAGAAGGGGGGTGGCCCTCTCTCTTCCCACCTCACAATGGGGAGCTTGTGGAAGCCAGCAGCTACCCTGGGTTATCTAATCAGGGGTTCCTTCCTCCCCAGAACATGGAGTTTCCATTCGGGCTCTTTGGCGCCCGGGGAGCTGATTCAGTTCTTCCTTATCCTGCTCGGAGCAGGCTCTTCCCCTCTCCGGCCCTGTCCCTGTCTTTTCCTTGGCAGGCCTTTGTGCCTTCTGCAGCTGCACCGTGAATTTACCGTGTGCAGCATTTTTTCCCTGCGGCTTCTCTTCGTGCCAAGAAAAGCCTGTGTTGTTGAATTTCTGCTGTTAGTCGAGGGGAGATGCCCCCCTTTTCCTACCCAAAGTCAACACCTCCCCGATAACCTTCTGTTAGAGCTACGTGCGGTGGGGTGTGAAGCCTCTGGCACTCTGAACCATCTCGGTCAGGAGTAGCGCAGGGCTAGGCTCTTTAGATCGGCGTTCCTCAACTTTGGCAACTTGAAGACGTGTGGACCTCAACTCCCAGAATTCTGGGAGTTGAAATCCACACGTCTTCAAGTTACCAAGGTTGAGAGACATTGCTTTAGATGGAAGAAGCAATGCTGCTGGAGCAGAATTGTGAATGCTGGGGCCTAGCCCGCCTCGGATGAGCCCAGGTCACCACGTTCCCAGTCCTGGATGCCAATCTCCAATCCAGGGGACAAATGCAAGCTGATCGACTGCTAAGTCAGGACTCCGGCCTTAATCATCTCTGCTTCTAGTGGAAAAGTTAATTATGGGAAGGATAACCACAGAACGCCCCCTTTTCCATTCAGAACTTGGGTAGAAAACAGGCAAACTCCAAGCTTCCTGGATCACCTTTGATGATCTAGTTCAGTGTTTCTCAACCTTGGCGACTTTAAGATGCTGGCTGGGGAATTCTGAGAGTTGAAGTCCACACATCTTAAAGTCGCCAAGGTTGAGAAACACTGATTTAGTTTTTATTAGTCCTCCCGAAAATCCCTAACGAAACCAGGTTACCTTCCGACAACATACTGTGGAGTTTGTAAAAGGGAGAGACACCCTCAAATCCCGTTCAGCTTCTCCAGTGAATATTCAGATGGACATTTATATCGGAGTAACGGTGCGCCTGAGCTTCTAACGTGAGAATCCCAAACTGGGAAAAGTTGCTTAGTGCTAGTCAGCGTGTGGAATTTCTGGGGGACAAGATTAAAGGTGGTGACCCTGCTGTCCATTGTCGGTTGCGACAGGAAGCTGCCTTCCTCAATCTTTTGTTTTTTTCCTTTGCAAATGAAAATTTGTGCTTCAACGTCGCCTGACTGCGTAGTTTCATCGGATAAAAAGGCACCTATAAAACCCTCCTCGGATCGTCAGTTCAGGCTGTGGGTCTGTCTGAACATTCATCCCAGTTACGAAATGGACTTGCCCTTGGTGTTTGACTTATTCTTCTCTTTTCTAGGCAAGAAATGTCCCCGCCTTCCTTCCTTCCTCCGGTCTAAAAATACAGCAAAGCCCCACCAGAGTCTGTATGTATGAAGTGTATTACTGTATCATCAAAAAGAGGATTTCTGGTTGATTCGCTGGCGGCAACTTTAGTAAATGCGTTAGCTCAGTGTTCTTCAGCCTTGGCAACTTTAAGATGGGTGGGCTTCCCTGAAGTCGATTCATCTTAAAGTTGCCAAGGCTGAAAAACATTGCTTAGCGAGACAGTAAGATGGAGGGCTGAGATTTACAAGATGACACAAGCGTGAGGACGACAAGCAGGTGTATACCGGGTGCTGCATGCAGCTCCGTGTCCATTAGCCAGACAGAAAAGGGCCACTTTGGGTCCCCCCTTGGAAGCCCGAATAAGAAGTTTTCCCTCTTCCTGGGGATGCGCCAGTTGCTAAAATAGCCCCGCTGCGTCTTCCTTTTCCCATGCGCTTGATGTACGTGGACTCCACTGGGATTTGTGCCAGCCGGCTCCTCCGTGCCCCAGGAGACCTGCCCAGTCATTGCGTGCCTCTTGCCGCCAGCGTCTTCCCTTTGCTGGGAAAAGACCCAGCTCCTTCCTGCGGAAGTTCTGATGGCTCTGCCGACAGCTGTCCGTCCCAGCCTGCTTA